AGTTGCCCATCCACGACTACAGGATTCCTTTCCTCCCCTTTCAAAGGGTAGGCAACCCACAATGGTATCTAGAATTTGATAATGTCTAGTAAGTAGATGCTTTCCAAGGCTAGTTTGAAAGTCCTCTGTTTCTGCAATTCCCACTCAATTTTGGGTTGGGTTTTGTTGGGTTTTTATTTCTCTTTACAACAAAGTAAGTACGAGGACACAAACAGTTAACCACCAGGTGTTATAACTAAAAGAAGATTTTCACTCTGCATTAGATGTCCCCAGTATTCAGTGGGCTTATTTAATTACTGTATCTGTAGGATGAAAATCGTCCATCCAAACATTCTCCTTTGTTCTGCTTCACTGTTACATGGGTTTATTCCCTGCTTTCTTTACTGCAGAGACGTCCAAAACCAAGAAAAACATGGCCTGCCTCAAAAAATTTCGGATCTTGGCTGTTCCTGAAAATTCAAAATTATACACAGCGTGTTTCCCTGCCCCTTATCCTGGCCAATATCTTCCCCACTACCCAGCCTCTAATGCTGGGCTCTCACTTGTACAGCTGCTGCACTTGCCAGCATCTCCGGGGTCTCGTGATCAGTGCTTTGAATGCAGTTTTTGTACACGCTCTGCCTCCCTGAGCCGAGCAGCATTCCTGGGCACCGGCACTGCTGCTGCAGGCGAACATCCTCCAGGCAAAGGCTGCAGGAACGGGATTGCAACAAGCCCTGGCCGAAGAAGTCTCCAGGCTGCTGCAGCCCTTTACCTGCTGCAAAATTATCTTGCGTTGCCATGGCGGGGGGGGAGGCGATGGGCTCTTTGCAGATGAGAGTCTACTCGATATGCTGCTGGTCGCTGGGCCTGATACAGCTGCCAGTGGGTTCCCCTGCAGCATCAGGAGCCTACATGGAAAAATAACACTGCTAGTGCAAGTGACAGTCACCGATCCCTGGCATTGCCCTGCCTGCAGGGGTTCCTGTGTATGAAACTGCTCAAGTCAGGTGGTGGTAAAACAACATAAAAATATATCCAAGTTATGCATTTTCCACATTCTGTCAAAATCATGGCCGTAAGGTCCAAATGCTGGAGGAAGACTGCTGTCGGCACAATGGGGGAAACATAACTCCGCCCCAGCAGCTGCTCTCCCCATGGCTGTATGAGCATGGCAGCAGAGGCAAGTCTCTCACTGCACCCACAACTGTTGGACCCAGCGCAGCGCGTTGGAGTTTTTCCCACTGAGCTCAGCACTGCTGCTGCAGCAGGAGCATCATTTCACACAGGTGATAACAAAGAGCTGTAAAGCCACACTGGACTTGCCCCAAGAACAACTGAAAAAAGAGGAGGTTCCTTAAATGTATTAGCCCATTTCTTATGGCCTAAGTGAGAGGTAAGAGGAGATTTTGCAGAGCATACCTTAGGATAAGAGGTCAGGATGGTAAGCCAGCAGTAAAATTCCTATAAATGTCAGTAAGTACAGAAGGATGCCAATGTGAACTGCTTTTGAAAATCCACTCATAGTTGCCTCTAAAGCTCTGCAAACGGAACGACTATCACATGGTAGCTAAGTGCAGCCAGAAGGATCAATCACAGACACAGTTCAGTTAAATTATTACTGAAGGAAAAATGCCTCTGCACTCGATGGAAGAAGCAAAGGCAGGTCCCTATTAATGTGTTCTGTAAGCTTCAAACAAATAACAAAGAATGCCTGTACAAGGACTTTAGGTACCCTACTATCAATCAAACTTACAATCAGATAAAATGCTATCCTCAAGCAAATTTCAATAGAAATTGTTCATATCGCAGCAAGGCCATGTACTGCTCCACCCCCTGCCCAAGAGGTTTAACTCTGCTGAAAAGCTGTCATCTGGAGTAAAGCAAGTGATTTCAGAAAGGCTGGAGATAGCTGAGACAGTTAACCCACTTCTGGCTTTCACCCTTTTTGTTAGTCTAGGTAAATTCACAGAGACAACTTCAGGTCAAGGAATGAAGGTGCTTAGAGGGTTTTTAGAGCCTAATTCCCATTACTTTCAATGAAAGGCAGGCACTAAATACCCTTAAAAATACAAATGTCGGTCTATTTGGACTGTGTACTTTAAAACAAGGAATGGAGGTATCATTGTGAGTGGGACTGGGGCATAAAGCAGGGAATAAGGTATATTTTCTTTAGTGTCATTCCATAGGATGAATATCTAAAAAATACACCAGTGGCAATTTTGGCTGGTTAAGATCACCTCCTAAATGAAGCTGAGCATGCCCCATTGCTTAAGGTATTAAAAATATCCAAGAGAAAGCAGTAAGTACCAGAAATGAGTGTATCCTGTAGCTAGAATAGAAGGCTGCCTCTGCCACTGACTTACCCTGTAACACAAAGCCAGGCTTTCCATGCCTCAATTTTGTTCCTCTGCCAGGCTGTCCTACCTAAATGCTAGCACGCTATAAAGTGTAATTAGGAAGGGCATTACTTATGGCACCTCCATGGCCCCCAAAGCCTTCATTGCCTAAATTCAGGGCACAGTTCCTAATTCAGGCCAGCTACATGATATGGAAAACCCCAAATGTACAGCTATGTAGGGCCACCCCTTTCTCCCTTGCACTGAAACCACTGTAACCGGAATGATAATGGAAGAGCAATTTGCCTGCAGCCTGGGGAAAGTGTGGGGTGTGCAGGATTCATCTTCTGCCACTGCTGATAGGAGCATGGAAAACAAGCTGGTGCCATTCTCTGTACAGAGAACAGTAGCAGTGGTTCACTGCTGAGTGAAAAAAAGTGTTAGAAAATGGCTTTCTGAAGAGGAAAAAATGGAACACAGCTGCATTTGAACAGCTCCAGGCCCTGGTGATGTTTCAGTAGACAGTAACTGGTACTCCTTGTCATCCTTCTGCTGGGTTAATCAAAAGGAAATGCATCCTCTGGGATTTTCAGCTTCTTTGGATCATTAGCACCCAGTAAATGAAAACAGAGATTATTTAATGCTATCATTACTTACTTTCCCAACTAACAAGCTATTTCTCTGGTGGCTTCCCAGCACAGCAAACATACAGTATCATTATATGAAACATGCCAATGCCAACAACCCTACAGAGCCCGTCAGGATTGGAGCCGCTGTGGAGGTTGAACCCAATAGCTCACCAGCCAGAGGCTTGTTGTGAGGATAAAATGAAATTGGAGTGATGACAGCTGTTTGGGGTTTTTTTGGCCCGTGGATTTCAGCTTACAGGGCCATAATGCATCTGTAGTTTTTATGTAGAGTAAAAAGCCATCACCCAGTGGAACTGGGCAGTTTCCCCAAGCCTGTGGGAGAATCATGAGGCAGTTCCCTGTGCTACTAATTGTATCTCTCCCCACTTTTCTAAGTTCTTGGTGTCAAAGCCACTTAGGTTAGACACACAGCTCACAAGAAGTGCTCCTCTATCTTTCTGCACAATGATCCAAGCGAGTTTACACATCCAAAATCTGTTTTCTATTACCATTGAACTTACTGTTTTGAGGAGTTTCTGAACCAGCAAACTTGCTTCCTCAAATATTTACTGTGCATGGCAAGGAGCACAGACAAAAGATGTAACGTGAAAAGCATCAGCCACATGATGCTCTTTTTACAAGTTCTGCCCTCAGCTTTCATTTGGAAGATCTTAAAAGTTCAATGCCCCTATCAAAACCTCCTGCAATGGCTGTTTCTCAGCAGAGCAGGGCTGCTCAACCATGAAACAAGAGTTACCGCAAGCAGCAGCTTCCCCAGGGCGGCAAATCAAGAGTTAGGAATAAGCTGATCTGAATGCCAAACCTCATTAGCTCCTTCAAAAAGCACTTGAACAATCCCTCATTCCAGCTCTAATGAGGTGGTGTGCTGGACATCACGGTTATTTGAGTACTGTACACAGGTTTGCTCCCACTGAGCACTGCGATGGTCTCCACTGGAGCTGTGGCCAAGGGCGGTTGTTCCCAAAAGGTGGGTGATCGATTGCTCTGTGGGCTCCTGTGACTGCTGGACACAATGAGGCAAGAAGGAGCCAAGTACACTGACACACCTTCGCCTTGAGCATAACCCAGCCTCGACCAAAAGCGTTGAAAAGTTTCCCCTCCTGACTGAGGCACTTTGAAGACGACCCTGAAACTGCAAGATCCTGAGCCCATGCATGGGTTTGCAGAGCACCTCATGCAGAGAGGTCCTCACCCTGAGGGGGTTCCAGGTGCTAATGCTGTATGAACATAAATTAGCTGACACGAGTAATGCTGCAGGGGCTAGCGCTAGAAAAAGCACGCAATATCAGCTACTGCTTCTCTTCTGAGAGCAGGTCTTCATGGCACATAGGATTTCTGCTATGAGGGACTCTAGGAAAGGCTCTAGATGCTGAACACTCAAGGCTTGGGTACAGAAGCAGTCACAATCAGCTCCTTGAACTAATATATTCTCAAATTAAGTCCAACCAGTGGCCCATGTCTTGAAATGTTAGGCCAGCTGTCTGTCAGCTCACATCAGCTTACGTTTCTTGTAAAAGCATTTTCCTTAGAAATATCAGGCTCATCTTCCTCGGTACCTTCTTCTCAGCTGCCTCAGGGAGAGGGGTCTCCCACCTCATACTCCTGTGTGAAGCCATCCCAGAGGACTACTAAGATATGTTCCCTGGCCAGTAGTTTTCTCCTGGTAGGGCCCTGCATACTGTTCCACACATCTTTCATAAAGGCACAAACCAACTCCAAGCACTCTGACTAGAGCAGGTTTCCACAAACAGCTGCATAAATCCAAGATAACTCCAAGTGAGCATCCTGAGGGCTCTGTGCTGTTCCTGTGTAATCATCAGGCAGGGAAATTCTCAATGATCTGAAGCGATTTCATTCAGCTGCAACATGGGATCCGAGTTTGGTATTGAAATTTTTCATTATGAGTAACAAGCATTGGGAGCACGAGGTACAGGGCTGACATGCAAAAGCAGGAGCATATTCTCTAACGAGACCAGTTTAATTGTCCATTTTATTACTTTTATATCTATTCCACTAAAGTCCCAGTACTGTTCTTAGTGCTGTATGAACCTTGAAGTACAACATTTCCCACTGCTCAGAATTTATTCCCTGGTCTTTACAGTATTTAAGCACCTCTATCTTGTTCAGGGCCTAAGTTCACCATTCAAGCATCACTGAAATATTTAAAGCTTCCAGTCACCTAACCTACAAGGTATCACCTAACTCCACAGGCATTTAAATCTCTAGAGTGCCCAAGTGTCCATGGGCTGATACATGCTAAACACAGGGGCTGTCTTGCATCTGACCTGCTGCTCAGAGCCCCACACCATGGTGCCCAGAGGACCCAATGCAGGATCTTCAGTCAAGGTGGACAAATGCCTATTTTCCAATACCTACCAGCTGGCAACATCTACCTTGGGTGAGCTGGAGGCCACTAAGAGGTAAAGGAGTAAAAGGCTGTCTCTGCAACAAACTGCAATGCTTACAGGGAGGGGAACAAAAAAGAGCTGCCAGATATGAACACACAACACAGTAGAGCTGGCTGACGAAACCTTGCAATGGTTTGGCTCACTGACCTGACAGAAAACACCATGTTTCCCAACTTCCATCACCTCCAACGTCCGAAAATGAACAAAGCCGAAGAACTGGCATGAAAAGTGGAAGACTGCAGAAGCAGGGCTAGCTCTGCTGCCGATTCATTGCCTGGCCTGCAGAGAAATAGAAATATAAATCTTAAGGCCAGAAAAAAGTTAGAACATATAAATGTGACCTCTGCAGGCCACAGATTTTTAATAAGTCAACTTTAGTTTCTTACAGGTCGATATCTCCAACTGA